TTTCCGTTGCACGACACTGTCGGCACTACTACTGACTCAGCTGCTAGTTATGACTAACTGAAATAAGAGATAAAAATGTTTACAAATAAAATATCCATATTTCCGTTCCAAAGATAACATCCAACACAAATCTATGACACATTTTAGAGTGGCCTTTTATTGTGGCCAGCCTAAGGCACACCTGTGCAATAATCATGCTGTCTAATCAGCATCTTGATATGCCACACCTGTGAGGTGGATGGATTATCTCGGCAAAGGAGAAGTGCTCACTAACACAGATTTAGACAGATTTGTGAACAATATTTGAGAGAAATAGGCCTGTTGTGTACATAGAAAAAGTCTTAGATGTTTGAGTTCAGCTCATGACAAATGGGGGCAAAAACAAAAGTGTTGCGTTTATAATTTTGTTCAGTGTAGATGAAGAAACATTTAGAAAAACACAGAGATACACTCCCCTCCCTCCAATGCGTTTTCGACTACCTCTGGAAGTGGTCAAAAGTGGATGAGCTCAAAACGTTTCACACCCTGTTTACACTTGTATTTAGAGTTGTCCACTTGTGATCCGATCGACCAAAACACATCTTAATACCAAGTGTAAACAGGGCCAAAGTTACAACGTTCCCCATCTGCGCAACTGGAATTTGAAACTAGTTAGTGTCTTCTGCTAATTAACGAAGCATTAAAGAACTATCTAAACTGATAAATAACAGATTGGAGATTCGAGCAGATTCGTCTTATTTTAAATGAATACTAAAGAGATGAAAAATTTACTTCAGCCAGAAATGTACTTTTGCTATGTTAAAGTAAATGCTCAGCGATATCTTCAAAAGATTTTTGAATTTTGGCGCACTTTTTTCTCTGTAGAGTGTTGATATGGCAACTAGTAAATACCGTAAATTTTGTTATGCTAGCATGTGTGGAAATATTTAAACCATGTGTGTTACAACTAACCCCGCGTTACTTTGTGCCCCGCGCTACCCTACATCCACAGTTTTACTACAAATACCATGTTTAAACTGTAGCAAAATCATGGTTTAACTATATTAACCATGGTTTTTTAGCTTCCTTTGTAGTAAAACCTTGGTTAATTTTCATAAGAGACTGTCAGTGGTCTCCTCTGTTGAGTATGTAGGTTGAGAGTGTGTAGATGGCAAAAACAGAGTCAAGTCACCGTTATTTATACAGCGCTTTTTACAATGCAGATTGTGTCAAAGCAGCTTTACAGTATTAAAAAAAGTGAAATAGTGTGTCGAAATTTCTCTGAGCAAGACTTCACTGATATCTGTCAAACAAAACGCCTACAGCACCGTCACTGAAAGTACTGTTCAATGTGCAAGGCTGCAAATGTGTGATTTAGCCATGAAGACGACAGCCGTCGGTGTCTTGAGTTGTCTCAGTCTCTCCAGCACAAAGAACAGCAGCGTTCCAGTCAATAATTGGCACATGTATTCATACGGTTCAGTCGGCGTGTTTCTCTGAAGCCCTTATTAAAATCAGCACATTAATACACATCCACTTATGAACAATAAAGTATGATGATGAGATTCACGTTGTCGTGGAAACTCCACAGCGTGGTGGTATAAAGCAGATCTCCATCAGCCTCCATCAGGAAACATGCTCAAACCCTCAGACAAGTGCGGCTCCAAAACCGACACCGGAATCCTTCTGGACGCCATCTCCAACGACAAGATCCACCTCGCCAGGTTCGTCTTAGACGCTCTGGATGGGAAAATCATCGACTCCGAGACAGAAGGGGCACAGACGCCTCTGATCTCTGCCGTATTCCTCCAGGATTCGCCTGCGAGATGCAGGTTCGTGAATCTTCTGCTGCAGAGGGGTGCGAGCGTGAATCTCCCGGACGAGAGCGGCCACACGCCGCTGAGCTACGCCTGCGAGATGGGACACCTGGACGCGGTGAAGATCCTGGTGAAGAACGGCGCAGATCCCGAGGCAGTGGACGCCTGGGGGAACACCGCGCTCATGTACGCCACCGTGGCCGGACGCTCGGCCGTTGTGGAGTTCCTGGTGCGCTCTTTCAAAAGGCTGGGTCTCCAGATCGAGCGGCAAAACAAGGTGGGCAACTCTGCAGTGGAGGTGGCCAGGTATCTCAGACACACTGACTGCTTGCAGGCGCTGCTGAGTAACTCCAGGAGGGTTCACGATGGTGATGCACTCGCTGAGAAACTCTCCACTGTGAACATCAGTGAAGCTCAACACGAGGAGAAGCCTCTCCAGATCCATGCATTTGAAGACGGGACTCGACTTCCCATCAGTTTAACCCGTAAACGATCCATCAGTTCGCGGAAGAGAATCCAGTCGATGAACTCCATTGAGGAATACGAGAGGGAAGGTGATGCTTCATCACCACAAGGCCGGATGTTCTCTGGTGTTTTCACTTCAAAACCTCCTCAGAAACACAGAGAGTATCAATGCCCCAACAATCACCTGCCTCCGCTGTTTTACTCACCAAGAGCCTCCAAAACGAGTTGTGTGCCCGCTTCTGGTCCTCTTGGCATTTTATTAACTCCTTTCAGCAAAAGCGCCAAAGAGGAGCTCGAGAAAGCCAAGAAGCTGGCGTTTGACGCGCCGGTCAGAAGACTGGATGACTGTTACTATCAGAAGAGGTGCAGTTTGCCGACTAGCACTGCTCCGGAGCGCCTCAAGCCGTTACGCAGAAGCAAAACCGGGTTTGAGCACGGCTCCAGATCTCTGAGCACCCTCCGGCTGTTCAGGAGATCCACCTTTCCAGAGCTCAAGAGGAGCAGCAGAGAGTCGCCGGAGGCTCCACAAGCACCCGGCCGCTGCATCCCAAGGTCAGAGACTTTTCCCCTGGGAAACAAGCACCCTCACGTAGGGAGCAAGCCGAGCATCGACAGCATCAGCGCGGTCAAGTGTGAGTTTGACGTTCAGTTTAAAGCTGCTCCTGATGTCTGAGGAGCGAGGAGACTGAACACTAACCTACTAACTAGTGCTGTGCCAACAAGCAATATAAGAGCTTGGAATAAATCACTCCTGTAGTTTCATTTCATTTATTCATTTAGCAGACACTTTTATCCAAAGCATTTCTCACAATGGTATGTAGTTACAGTCAAACCAAAAATCATTCAGACAGCAGATATAATTGTTGATATTTTGTTACTAGTGGGTGCAGGACACTACAGTTCATTCATGTAAGCGATGAGAGCAAAATAAAGTAAACTGTGACATATTACACCCAAAAACTCTTCATACAGTGGACTAACAGTAAAATTTGGGAGCAATAATTATTCAGACACTTTGAGCTGAGCATGTGTTTCTGAAGTGTTTTTCTTTAATTGCTAATGTGATATTTTTACACCACAGACTGAACTAAATGAAGCAGTGCTTGGTAATTAGTTGAGCTAAATTGGTTTTATCTCATTGTGTTCTTAAATGTAACAGCTGATAGATATTCAAACGAATTCATTACATACCTTTCTATCAAAGTTATCTGAGATTATCAAGATGAGTTGGTTCTGACTCAGTTTAACTCTGAGTTCTTCTCATATTTTATTACCA